GCTGCATTTAACTTAAATTTGTAAATGCAGATTTAAATGCAGCCAGGCCCAGGATCCAGGAACCAAGATCCAAGATGAGAGAGTCCTGAGCATCTTGGTTCTTGGTTCCAGGGGCTGGGCTGCATTTAACTTAAATTTTTAAATGCAGATTTAAATGCGCTGGTCTCCTTCAAGTATATAAATGTATAACTCCAGGTTGCCATCCTGAGATGTTCCTCACATAGAACCTCACATATGTGTCCGATTTGCTAGGTTTCTAACAAATTCTTCTATTATATTCATTCATAACCCTAAACACGGTGGATCTTTGGGGGGGGTACCATATATATATATATATGTATGTGGATGGGGGCGTGTGTATATTTTTCTATATATGTGCGCATATACCTCTGAAAGTATAGTTCTACTCGAACCTATCCCAGCCCTCTAACAACTCAACAGCGCACCTGTAATAAACGTTGGCCCGGCGCTTCATATCGCTCTCTTGCTCCTGGCGCACACAAAAGGTAGCCATCCAGCAGGGACCCAGCAAAAAAGGTCTTGAGATGCTTTAGCTTCCCGCCTGTGAGAATGGAATATCGCCAGGACTGCTGGGGACGGTAGTGACCATACAACCCCTATAGTGACTATAGTATAGGGGCTGTATTCAGGCTTTATAGGGGTTATATTGGGTTATATTTGGGTTATATAAGGATAATGGAAGCGAAAATGCTATGGACATCCGTTCCTTCATTCCCCACGTGGCGCGCAGATTTCTGAAGCTTTTTCTTGCGATGGTGCAAGCCATTCTTTGCACACCTAACGTCAGAGCATACTGTAAAGTCGTCTAAAGGTGAATTATTGAGCCGGTGTCGCTTGACAGCGCTCACAAAATATCTTTTTTTTGTGGTTGAGTAATACAGGGAGAGCCCTCGAGCTGCAAAATTTGTTCCGGTGCCTGGATTACATGGGAAGGTGCAGTGATTATATACGGTCTCACAGATGATATGGGGACTCTACAGTCTATAACAATTCTATGGGAACCATCTACAGATTATACATGCATTCTGCCCTCGCATACCTTTGTATGGGTTCAGGAAAGAAGCATGCCAACCATGTGATTTCTACATAGAGTTATCTACTGAACATGTGGGGACTATGCAGGGATTTACAATGAGTCAGGATTATGTGAGTTGTAGTCTTATCTCCTAGCGTCCCCCTTAATAAGCCCTATAATACTCCCGTATATAATCCTTTGAGGACTTTAGACTATAGCTCATTTTGCACTTGGGGCTTCTAGACGGATGATGCAAGGTGTAAGGCTTCAGTACACATCTTTGCAGGCCGTTGGTTCCCCACCCTCTGAATTCATCTGCACAGGAAAACATGCAACTCACGAGGAGGCGCATCTTATGGCACACATGCAAACATGCACAAAAGGCACATAAGGGTGCATCAGAGACTTAGAGTGGGTTGCCCTAAGTCTCTGCAAAAGGCCGGCGAATAGTTCTACCTGGCTTTCAAACAATGAACGATTGCAACTTGCACCAGGCCGCAAACATGACCGGCCAGGTCCAAGGCATGCTGGCATTGCACCACTCGCCCAAAAAGGAAAGGAGATCACTCTACTAGAATGAATAGACATCACGCGTCTCAGAAGTCATAGACAAGACCCTCCAGCGCGAGTTCTTTGGCAATGCTAGACGAACACCCATGCCCAAAGCAACCATACCCGGGCCACGGTCTTTCACTCCCATCTACTGTGTGAAGGAGCGCGACGGCAGTCCGGCAATGAATTGTGTCAGGAAAACCTATGTTCGCGACACCCACTGTAGGCGTGCATCTTCAGAGAAGGTTCCTCTCAGCCGCTTTGATGTCCATCACCTTGCCCAACACCAACAGCAACAACACTTATCATGTTAGATACACATCGGACTTAAGTTGGATAGGGAAGAATGGAAAATCCAATGGAGAAGCAACTGGAAATGGAATTGGCTGGTAGGGATATTCACATACATACATACATACATACATACATACATACATATGGAAGGGCACACTTTGGTAGTACACAGGGGCTAGATGCAGTGCTGCAACCACTCAAGGCGATCCGTCTGAGAGGTAGGCCCAACATTCGGGCGGTGTAGGGCTTTAGGGTTTATGGTTGAGGGTTTAGGGTTTATGGTTTAAAGGTTCCCAAAGGAGTTGCCTTTACAAGGGGCTATTCAGGGATACATAGAGTGTACCCTTCAGGGTTTTCAGAAATGAGGTGTACAGGCCCGTATCATAAGGATTCTCATCTTCTGGGGTCTATATTGTGGCCACCCTATTTTGGGAAACTACCACTGCTAAACAACTACTACCTTTTGATCTGGCTCACATCTGATACAGACGCAACACGTTTGAGCGTTTGCCCTGATAGACTCTGAGTCTCCGGCCAACATGAAAACTTCAAGGCCTTGAAAAATAAAGAACTGCAGGGAAGATAAAGACTTCATAAGAACAGAGTTTTGGGTCTCGGGTCCTACAGCCCAAGCAATTTTTCCGTCTGCGCAATTCCAGGGCCCCGGCCCACGTCCAGAGCCAGCAGGTCTTTGCTGATTGAGGCACGCGCCGGCACATTGCGTAGGTAGACAGCCTGAGACGCTTCTTGACAGGTTTAAGGAACCCTCAACCCTAAACCCCTAAACCCTAAATCCTAAACCCTAAACCCCTACACCCTAAACCTGTTTAGTGTTCAGGGTCTAGAGCATAGGGTGGTTTACGCGAACTTTCGAACTCTGCTGGGTTGCTGAAAAATCGTACCTTAAGTTACGATAATCAGGAAACCCTATTGTTTCCTATGTACCCATGTTGTGGTAACCCTTAACCCTAAAGCCTGTACCATACAATGGTAACTTAATTCAAGTTCCTTAACAGCAACCCTGTCCGAGCATTGTCCGTTTTGCACTGTAATGGAGCTTAAATTAAGTTACCATAATGTAGGTACATAGTGGTTTCTGGGGCTTACTTGATTATAATAACTTAGTGTAAACTCTAGGCTCCCCAGTAACCCCATAAGATTAAGGCTACCCTTTTCAGCTTTAATAGGGAGACCTCAAGATCAATAGGAAAAACTTGTATTACTGGGGTAGCTAAAATTCCTTAACAGCATCCCGGCAGGTGCCTAAACCCAAAACCCTTCACCCCATCCAAGATGCGGATAGAGGATCCAGGGAACCACAATAAGCCAGACCAGCCGATCTTTCACCTGAATATTTCTTGCGGGGCTTCCAGACTAAAGGAAGGGTTTAGAGTTGAGGATTTAGGGCTTTGGATTTAAGGGGGTACCATGACGGATCGTTTCGATGTGAGCCTATCCTGTAGACTCCTCAGAAGTTGTTCTCCATTTCCATTATAGCACAAACCCGGAAATAGTAGAAATATTAGTGGTATAATACTAAACACTAAAGCCTGAACCCTAAACCCAAACCCTGAACCCCAAACCCAGAACTCTAAACCCTGAACCCTAAACTGCAAACCCAAAACCCTAAACCATAGGTTGAAGCTGACCTCAAAGGCGATGATGTAGGTCATGTAGGCTACGCCGCACATGAAAACGACCCATGTCCTTGGTGGCTTGCGGTTTAGGGTTTTGGGCTTGGGGTCTAGGATTCAAGGTTTGGAGTTTAGGGTTCAGAGTTTAGAGTTCTGGGTTTAGCGTTCAGGGTTTGAGTTTAGGGTTCTGGCTTTAGGGTTTAAGGTTTAACGTTTAGGCTTTAACGTTTAAGGTTCAGCGTTTAGAGTTTTGGCCGCTCTTTCTTGCTCAGGCCATGGTATGCAATCACGCAGGGATTGTCCGGAGATGGTCCTGCATAATGACCGTAGTCAGCCTTAATGCTTGTAACAATAACAACAAAAAAGAAAGACTTCAAGTAAAAAAACACAGTGAAATTACTAATAGTACTCCGTCTTACATGTTTAAAAAGACTCTGTTCATGTTACTGGGGAGTAGTACGGAATACAAGAAATTATTATATGGGGACTATCTATGGATTATATTCCCGTATTCCTTACTAACTTTCGAGGCTAGGAAGCTTGGCGAGGCTTTGTGTTGGTCTCATTCATGCTCCTGGTACTGAGACCTGCGCCTGCAGACCGACTTTAAACCTACACTCTAGACCCTAAGCCCTAACCTCTTGACCCTAAGCCTCAAACTCTTGACCCTAAGCCCTAAGCACTTAACTCTTAACCCTGAAGCTCCAACTCCTGGCCCTAAACCCTAAAGCCTAAACCCACTCATTAACAGTTGGATAATATGCATAATATATAGAGCCTTAGTATGACCCCCAAGGCACTGCTTGAAGACGTACCACAATGATAGGTTCTGCTCAACCTCGCGCTCCACCGCATCCTTCCCATCAGGCAAGGTGGTTGAGGGTCTAGGCTTTAGGGTCTAGGCTTTTAGGGTTTACGGTCTTAGGGCTTAGGGTTGTAGGGTTTAGGGTTTTAGGGTTTTAGGGCTTGGGGCTAAGGGTTTATAGCAACGCATGGATAATCAAATGGCACCCGGGCTGGGATATACAGGGAATTCCATCCCCTCCCTCTGACATTAAACCCCCCCCCCCAATGCGGTATAGGGTTTAGGGATAATAGTGGAGTGGCTAAGCTCAAAGCAGGTGGAGGGGATTGGATTAAAAGGAAGGGATCTGCAGAATTCTTTAACCCTTAACCCTGGAAACCCCAATGCCTAAACCCTAATATGCCTACTACTACAACCCCCTTCAAAGAACCTAAAAGCCCGTTTGACCCCAAACCCTAGAAACGCATCCTGCCTGTGGCTTCCAGTTGGCTGAGCCAGAAGCCTGCGCCCAAGTTGCGCGAACCACCCGAAGCGCACCGAGAATGAGCTCCGGAGAGTATAGGAGAATGGACAAGAGAATCCTCAGAGCAAGATAGAGGCTGCAGGGCTGCTGTTTAGGGTTGAGGGTATATAGTCCCCCTTAAGTAGATAGAATATGGGGTATATGGGGATATTATTATAATATACCCGAAACCATATTCTATCTACTTAAGGGGGACTACAGGCGTTGAGGTTTAGGATTGGGGGTTTAGTGGCGTCTGGGCTTGAAGGGTTAGGGTTTCGGGATGACAGATCACAGGGTGTAGGGCAAGCAACTGAAAATGAAATGAGGGCTTACGGGGATAGGTAGGGTTTAGGGTTTAGTTGCTGGTGGTTGGAGGGGATGGAGGAACAGAAAGGAAATGTAAACGACTGTTTTTCGGTGTTACACAGGGGCCACTAATACTAAATCTTCACAAATTAATGTATTATACCACAATGGGAATAATGGATATGAGGGGGGTGGGGGATTGTAATACTGGGGGGAGGGGACTACTATGAATCATCCGGTTACAAGTGTCATGCTTCTCCCTGCTCGATTAGCAAAGCCACGATGGAGATGTGAGTAGCCAGAAAGCCCGATATCCCTGAATTAGGGCCTATACGATTATACCCTAAAGCATAGTAGGAATCCCTAATATGATTTTATGACATATTCCCTAATAAAGGGATAGTGGGCTTTCTGGGTACGCTGAATCTACAGACATGGTAATTTACCAAAATTAGGGGACCCCAATATAGACCCCAATATACTATAATCCTGATTATGGGGCCAAACAAAAAAAGTACCCCTAATTTCGGGCAACCCCACATCAGACGGGGAGCTCAATGACAGAGAGGGCCAATTGCCGCGCGAGAACAGAGCATCGACTCAGTCGAAAGCGAGCCTCCGAGGAACACGCTGGAAACCTACACGCTAAACCCTAATCTTGCTTGTGTACTTATGGGTCTCCTCCTCCTCCTCCATCTCCACTTCCATCCAGTCTCCTCCTTCCCGCAGCGCTTTCATGTCCACCGTTGCTAGCTTGCTTCGCTACCGCATTCAGATGAACCTGGTCCCTCACAGTACACGCACGGTACAGTGTATAGGGCGGTCCAGCGTCTCCTTCCTTTCAGGCACAGGAGTGCAAGCGCAAGGGGGCGTAGGGTCTCGGGTTTAGGGACTCTGTATCAATCTTTCAGAAAACCTTCTCTTTTCTGCAAAACCTTCTCTTTTCTGCATTCTGCATCCCAACAGCCAAGGCAGGGCGCTCCTAGTATTGCTGTTGTTGTTTTACTCCTGTTCCTACTACCGCCTTTGCTAATACGTTTGTTTAGTGCCGCCGTCGTCGTCGTCGTAGTAGCAGTAGCAGCAGTAGTAATAGTAGTAGAAACCGTAGGTGCTGTTTTTGTTGTAAGGGTACTAGTAATTAGCCTGAATTTGGCCTCGGGCGCAGGTGGTGACGTCGTCGTCGTCGTCGTACACTAGACTTTCTCATTGCTTGCATCAGCCACTGAGGCAAGCATGCAAACTGGCACTTTCCAGCTGATCCCTTCCACTTGCTGTCAGTTTTGGGCAGGGGTGTTATGATTCTCAGACAGAAGATACTCTAATGCACACTTCCCTCCAATCGCAAAGCTCCTCAACTACAAAATGCTTCGGCGGAGAGATCTGCCTGCACTGGTACTCCCGTGGTTGCGCTTGGAAACTTGACTTGATGGCAGGTGCGAATGGAGGACTGCATTACCACCGTCGTCGTTTTATGTTCCCGTATAGCACGGTCCCTACATTATCCTCCCCTAACACTAAACCCAAACCGCTCTTCCCATGTTCCCCAGGGACATCAGCAAGTAGACTCGGCGTGGCCTTCTTGAAGCTGGAAGCGCTGGAGTCGCTGTCACTGGCATCTGGACCTGAGTTGTCTTTCTAAGTCAGTTGGGGATTCCAAAAAGGGATCCTTCCTTGGGAGCCACCATAGTCATTAGTCTTGTATCCCCCTTCATAGTCCCTGTAATACTCCCCTATATACTCCCCGAAAAAACCGCCCTTTTAGGAGTTTAGACTATAGTACATATGAGCAGTTCCCCAAATCAGGCTCCCATTTTGGTACCCCCAAGTATTAGGTGCCGTCATATCATCTAGAACCAAAAGAGGCCCTAATTTTGAGAACGCCCTCGACCCTAAACCCTAACCAGATATGGGTTCCATGCTGGGTTCGCCATATTTGTGGAGACTACCAGGTGGGAGTTCGCAAAATAGGGGCAACTCCGGGCATGATGGGGATAAATGGTTTAGGGTTTAGGGTTGAAGGTTCAGGGTTTAAGAGTTAGGCTTTAAGGTTTAGCAATTTAGGGTTTAGGGTTTAAGGTTTAGGACGTAAGAGTTAGGGTTTAGGGTTTAGCAATGTAGGGTTCAAGGTTTCGGCTTTAGGGTTTAAGGCTTAGGGTTTAGGGTTTAAGAGCTAGGGTTTGGGGTTCAGCAATTTCGGGTTTAAGGTTTAGGGTTTCAGGTTTAGGGCTTAGGCTTTAAGAGTTAGGGTTTAGGGTTTAGCCATTTAGGGTTTAAGGTTTAGGGCTCCGGGATGAGAATCCCTCTGAAGGGTTCTGTGGCTATGAATATGAGTTCTTCCAAGTTGGCGGCTGGTGGCAAATGATGGTCTTCCGTTTTTGCGGGTGATCTACCAACAGTCCTTCCAGTTCCGGGCATCCTACATTGAGAAACAGCCAGGCATGGGTTCGTGGACTTCATAAGCCTAAACCCTGAACCCTAAACCCTAAACTCTAAACCCTAAACCCTAAACCCTTAAACCCCTGAACTCTAGACCCCTAAGCCCCTAAACCCCTGAACCTGGAGTGCAAGGCGAGGCTCTACCAATGGACAGAAACTGGGAAGATACGTCCTTCTCCTGGGCTGCTGGCGGTTTAGGGTTTAGATTTTGAGGTTTAGTTTAGGGTTTGGGTTGCCGTAAAGGAACTTAAAACAAGTTACCATAATGATGGAAAAGAAAATGGGAACTACTGTTTAGGAATTAAGTCACCATAATGGGTGTGTGTGTATATACTGTGTATATATACTATATTTATATATGTATATAGATATGGTTTTGGGTTTGGGTTTAGGGCTAACAGACTGGGTATATATTACGTATAGTACAAAAAATGGTTTCCCCAAAATAGTAACTTAAATTAGGTTCCTTAACAGCAACCCAGTCTCGCCAACTTCTCCGAACTTGCCGTCTCCAATCTTGGACGCTTTCCTGGCTCCATGGAAAAACCGTACCCGAGGCAGGTTACTATGGCGTCCCTTCTGCTGAAAACCCTGCGCAATGCTAGTATCAAGCTCTCCGCAAACGCACATGGCGGGGGGTGTGTCCCAAAATTAAGGTTTAGAGCTTAGGGATTAGGATTACAGTGTTGGGAGGTCTGTACGGGGGGGGGGGGGTCTCCTTATTTCGGGAAGCTACCACATGCCGAGCATTGTAACCAAGCAATAACTCGCTCCGCAAGACAAGCTTTCATACGAATCCGCTATTCTGCAAACCTTTACAGTCAAAGCTTTAAAGCCGGGTGTTTAGGCTTAAAGCCTATTTACATTCGTTACGGGCTCTTGTTGGGATACCATTGCTCATCTGTTGTGTTTTCTATTCATTGGTGGGGTCCAGAGTTGGAGTTGGGGAGGGGTCCGCAGCATGAGCAACATGGCGTTAGAATCTTTTAGGTTGGGCACTTGGAAGTGGCATCGATGTTGGCTTGCTGAGACATCAAGACGCGGATGCTGGTGCCTCTTCTCAAAATCGCATGCCGTGTTCGATTCAGAAGCGCAGAAGAAATCAAGCTCTTCCCAATATACTAATTTTTGGATAACTCCCACATTGCTCAACTGCTCCACACCCTCCCACAGCTCCTCGAGAGGAGGCAGTACCGACCCAAGCGGAGCGACGGCAGCTTGTCCAAGATGAGGAAGCCCTGCTGGTCGATATGCGGTTTAGGGTTTAGGGTTCAGGGTGCTCGGGGTTTAGGATGTAGGGGTAAGCAGGGAATGGAAAGAACATGGAAACTACCATAGTAGTTGAGGGTTTCCATAAATGGCCACGGCCAGTGTGGACCCTAATTATGTGTGTACATATATATATATATCATTAACAGATATATATGTACATATATATATATACATACATATATATATATATTTATGCATGTATGTATATGTATACTTGTAGGGCACACCATTTCAACTGCATAGGGGGTCCCTCCGGAATGAAACCTTTGAGGGGCTATCAACGGGCGGCACGGTGAAAGTAAGGACGTTTACCCTAGTAGGAATTGGGTTTGGGGTGTAGGAGTTTAAGGTACCTCTTAGGATCCTAAGCTTCCTAGTACATTCCCCCTATGTTTTTGGGGTTTCCTGTTTGGGTTCCCATTGATGTCCTCTTGCATTAGAGGCTGTCTTCCTGAGCACGCTCGCAACAGTCATCCCCCCTAAACCCTAAACTCTAGCCGCTAAACCCTAAACCCGCATTCGCCCCTAAACCCTAAACCCTAGAACCCTGCCTTCGGGATGATGAAGAGCGCCAGGACAGTGAAGAGGAGCGCGGAGAACCCGAGCACGGGCAAGATGTTGAGCTGGAGCCTTTTTCTTCTTGGGTTTAGGGTTTAGATAGTAGGGCATGAAGACTGGACAACAAAATGGGAACTACAGTGGCATTTAGAATAGCCACATGTCTAAATGTAAATGACATCATGATATAAGCACGTTTAAGTATACATACACATATGCATAAAGATATATGTATACATACAGACAGACAGACAGACAGACAGACAGGCGGACGGACAGACAGACGGACAGACAGACGGGACAGACAGACAGACAGATATACATACATACATACATACATCCGTACTTGTACTATCTTTCTGGGGAAAAACGCACACAGCATGGCAGGTAGGTGCGTGAATACATCTGCCAAGCCCCTGGCCCCCAGTGATTTGAAGCTAAGACCGTCGAGAAAAGGTTGATCAGCAGGATGCCAGGTCCTGGCTGTGCTGCTTGCGGAAAGAGGCATTTCTCATCTGCTTGCCTGTACTCTAAGGGATTTGGAACCCCAGTAGAAATTATAATTTCAGCTAAATATTAGGATTCTAGGTAACAGAAATTTAAAAACATGTTCAGGAACCTTGTAGTGTAAGGGTTCCAGGTTGCAAGTTCAAATCCCTGGCCCTTACACCCTGAAACCTGAACCACTTGGTCAGCTACTTGACCTACGAACTTCTTTGGCGCCTGCGTGGAAGAGTCGGAATCCGGTGTGCGACAGGTACTCTGCGGAGGTTGCGCAAGGCACGTCGCGCCAACGTACAAACTTCCTCAGAATGGACTGCAGAACCTAGACCTGTATGGTTTAGGGCTTAGGGTAAAAAAAAGTAATGATTGTAATATTAATAATAGACATAATAGAAGTAAGAATTGCAACCTGCCGTAGTTGTGAAGCCTTGACCTGCCACAGCACTCACTTGTAATACTACAGTCATCATATATCATGAGATAATATAGCAATATAAAAATAATGAAAATGTAATAACACAGTAGTACAATGTTATCAGTGAACAAAAGGCAGAACTTCTGGCTGAGGCCATGGTGCTTCTTGGGCATCTCCCATTTCGTGGCCAGGGAATGAATCATGGATAGCACCTTTTCGGGTTTATAGTCCCCCTTAAGTAGATAGAACATGGGGTATGTGGGGATCTTATAATAAAATACCCAGAGCCACATTCTGTCTATCTAAGGGAGACTATAGGTTTTAGGGTTCAGGGTTTATGGGTTGGTTGGGCTTACACACAATGATCGACCATTAACCCTAAACCCCAAACCCTAAACTACCAAGTGAAAACAGCCTCCACCATGGGAGTGTAGATGCCGCTGGCATGATAGCAGCAATTGCGCACCTGATCCGCGGGCAGCAAAGCGCGATACTGAGGCTATATAATGGGAAACTACTAAATTATCATAGAGTATATAATGGGGCTATATAGGGATAATGGAAAAGAAAATGGAAACTACAGGTCATATTATACCCTAAAACCCGAAACTAGTAAGGAAGCCTGAGTCAGCCTAATTGCTCTGCTATCCTTGCTAACAGCCGCAGGACCTCCCCGAGCATCCACCGTGTGGACTGCGACATCGCTGAGATCGGGTTCCTGTCTCGGGTTGCGGCTTGAGGGTTTGGGGGGGTTTGGGGGTCTAGGGGTTTAGGGGTTAAGGGTTCAGGGGGTTTAGGGGTTTGGGGTTTGGGGTTTAGGGTTTAGGGGTTTAGGGTTTGGGGTTTAGGGCTCTAGGGTTTAGGGTTTGGGGGTTTGGGGGGTTAAGTGCATAGGGTTCCTAAGCCAGCAACGCAGCAAACTGGAGTCCTGAACGGACCCTGAAGTCGGGTGTCATATATATATATATAATGCCCTTAGTAACCCTTCATAACTAGGTTATCTAGACCATGAATAACCCGGATTCCCTGAAAGTAGAAGCAATTCCGGCCGTCCTGGCCACATCCTCATAGAGGGTGACATCCACGTCGATGGCTGGCTGCAATAGTTTTGCCTTAGGATCTTAGACAGCAGGAACTCGCCTTGAACAGAATCAGGCGTCCATCTCTTCTAGAGTTTAAGGTTTACGGTTATAGTCCCCCTTAAGTAGATAGAATATGGGGTATATGGGGATCTTATTATAATATACCCGAAGCCATATTCTGTCTACTTAGCGGGGACTGGAGTATGAACATAGAATCCATGTAGAGACTTTGTCCGTGCATCCAAACCCCAAACCCTAAACCCTATCCGGCCTCAACCGTGTCGTGGCTGAGGATGTCCTGAGCCGACAACGAGGTGGAAGTGATTGAGGAGGCAACTTGAGTTTAGTGTTTTGGGTTTAGGGGGCAACACAGGGATTATACGGGGTTCTGTAGGCACTATTCGGGGTTATAAAAAAATGGAAACTACTTTTTAGGCTTATTTTCACCACCCTAGAGTACGCTATGACTATCATATGATCTTACGGGGTCCTGATTTGGGGGGTTGGGGTACACCCTCTTGACAGTTCTTGTCTCATGGACCACCGTCGCACTTGCGATACCCTGGAGTCAGGCAATCGAGGAAATGCTTGGCTACCCAGTTTCGAACCGTATTAACGCAAAAAAAAAAAAAGGTGAATATGATAGATTATACGCCTGTAGCTTTCACTTGACTGGTACTCGGTGGGCGCAGTATACCTATCTTGTAGTCCCGCAGTAAGCCTCCTCTAACCCCATTCTAACAGTCCATAAGTAGGTTACATCACCAGATGGTCTCGGTCCCACGCAGTAGTGCTAGAAGACTTCACACATCACGGCAAGTCTCAATGGGAAGCGCTTCGATCACGCTGCCAGGACGGCCAATCAAGCGAGGAATGTAAAGATCATTTCGGATCAAGCCTTGCGCTTGCACACAGATCTGACCATACCAAATCTGACTACCCAAAGGGTCCATGTACCCAATAATTGGGAATTTGTTAATAATAAAGACTATAGTATTTTGGGGCCTACATTTGCAGCTGGCAAGTCAGGTAATCGAGAGGCACGCGTTGCTTGAAGAACCCTTCAATGCCTTTTCCATAGAAGCCAACGCGGTTGAAGATCCAGAATTGGCCACGCTGCAGGTTGACCGTGGAGACCTTTGGTAACGTTGGCAAATTGCACAGTGCTCAGCGATCATCCACGAATAACCCAATAGCTATACTCCCGCAGTTTCCATTTCATTTTCCATTTTCTTTTCCATTTGATTCTCCATTATAGGGGAATAATATACCCTAAACCCTACCTCATCACAAGCACCTCCTACTGCTGGCTGCTGCTTCTACCTCTGCGACCTGCTCCTCCCACAAAAAAACCCGTCCTCACCCCCCACCCACCTAGTAATTAGCAGCTCTCCGCTGGACCTACGGATATCTCGCCTCCATAAGGGCGTTCCTCCACATATGCCAGGTGCAGGTGTCGTCAGCGGAATAGTCGTTGGCAAGGTTGGCATTGATGATGCCGTATGACCTGATACCAAGGCGTTTTGGGGCTTTCGAAGGAGTACTCTCTTGGCATCCCTATGACATCGTGATTGTTCGAGGATTGCAGATGAAGCACTCCCACACAGATTCTGTCTGCAGCTTCGGGGTAAAACAAGGATCTGCAGGTGGTTAGCTATGTTGAAGGTGCCGGTCGCAAGAATCCCTAAAACCCTAAACCCTAAAACCTAAACCCTAAAACCTAAACCCCTAAACCCTAAAACCTAAACCCTAAACTTGAATTTCAGAATCCCGTAGGAGTGGTCTGCGTCTATCTGACCGCAGGCTGCTCTGCGCATCTTTAAAAGAGCTGCTCTTTTCCAAGAGGGTTTAGGGTTCAGGGGTTTAAGGTTTAGGGTTTAAGAGTTAGGGTTTGGGGTTCAAGGTTCAGGGTTCAGGGGTTTAGGGTTTAGGCAGCCCACTTTCTTGTGGGCTGCAAATTAACATGGCTCAACTGGATACCGCTAGTGTTGTCAACAGCACGCTTGTTATAGTCTCAACCTGCGCAATCTCTCCCCTTAACAGGAAAGCCCAACGAATAATGCTTTCGGGGTCCTCCAATCCTGGAAGAGTACTTTTGAAAGGGAAAGCCTACTTTTCAAAAGAGCCACCTAAGAATGAACGGGTGGTGTTCTGAGGTCATTCGAGGCCCTTTGCCGAGATGCTGCCATCCTATCCCTGTCGTTATCATAGGCATGCCTGAAACACTGACCCCAAAACTTTGGAGTTTAGGGTTTGGGGTTTAGTTCTGCGAACCGGTAACTTACTGGTGAAGATGGGGACTACCTGGAGAGTCATATTGGGATGGTTTCTGATCCCTTCATACTGTATACTAACCTTGGATTCGCTCCCTGGCTGTCCCTGAAGCAGAAATGGGTAAGGAAAGCAAAATTCTGGGCGTCCTCATGGGAGCGCCATGCTTACTGTTGAGGGTTCGTTTGAAAATCAGCATGTCCCATGATTTCCTGTTAGGGCATGTCTTCAACAAACCCTAAACTCAGATAGATTTAGTGAGCCTACACAATATCTGACCCATATGGCGTTATAGGGTATACGTAGGGATTATGGTCCAGAATTATTTGAATTAAAGTATTCCCAGCAATATGCGAGTAAACAACCAAAACAACGACCCTGAACCCTAAACCCTAAACCCGTAGACCCCTAAACCCTCAGCCGTTGGCAGGCCGCTTGTTCCGGCCATGCTCCGCCGTCTCCACGAGTCGTCGAATACTTCGCGCGGGACAGATGGTGTCAGAGTCCAACACCATGGTGTAATAGTATCCTAGGGCATCCTAGGGTGTAGGGTTTAGACTTTAGGGTTTAGGATGGTTTTTTAGTCCCGAAGGTCTAGGGTTTAGGGCTTAGGGTGTAGGCCTAGGTTTTAGAGCTACGTAAGGGTTTAGGGCGTAGGGTGCAGGGCTCAGGGTTTAGGATGGTTGATGGTTAGTAGTATTTTGCGAGGTCAGAACCATGAATAATGGGGAATAAAATGAAAACTCGTGTGGAAATTGAGGCTGGTGAGCGTATAGAGATATGTAATTAGTATATAGTATCCTAACAAGGACCGAGACTATGTCAACATATGAAGCGTATCTTGCTGGCGTATTTGTAGAGACTACTGTAGGGATCCATTCCTCCATTCCGGACTAACAACCAGTAAGACTACTATGCGGGACCCTGGAGTTAGGTTACAAGCCAAAACCCTGAACCCTAAACCCCTAAACTACCTGACAAATCAACAAATCCAAGGGTCCTGCAAAGTAGGGTTCGGGGTTCAGGGCTTTGAAGCTGACTGCTTCACAAAATGGCAAGTCTGCTTGAAGGCTATCCCACTTATTTCTAGGGATTCCGCGCATGGCTCCTAGAAGTTCCTTTGCGGATTTGAGAAACGAGTGGCAAAAGGGAAGGTTCAGGCACCGGAAGGCACTAGAGAACAGACTTTGCACTAGGAACAAACTCTTGCTGCACGCACACTCAGATCATGGACACTTCGGATGAATGCGGAATGACAGCAGCGCGCAAACGCTGACTAGCATCGATTTTCGGCATCCCTTCCATACTCCGCCACCAGCATGATGTCCTTCAGGGGACAGCCTAATACACACTGGAAATGCAGGCGTAAACATTAAACCGCATTGAGACCGGTCGTATCAGCAATTGCTAGTATGCGGATGCACTGGGCGCGGTGATTACGCTACTGATGATGAAACATCCTCTGTTGATGGTGAGATTCGGAGCGATACACCGCCACAATAAGCAAGGGAGAAAACAAGTAGCTCTGACAGCTGTTGTTCAAGAAGTGAGACCATACTGTCCTAATGGTAGTAGCTAATGAGAAATCATGGTACATGTAATCCTTCAGGGAATGACCACTGTAACTATAGATCAATATCATTGGGAGTTGTAACGGCTGAAGCTATAGCCCTAGCACAGGCTGCAGTGGTAGCTGTAACATTAATATGCCAAAGGGAAGCACGAGAGACCGCAAACCCTCCACTCCCCGCTTCACACGATTAATACAAGGATGTTGTTAAACCCTCAAAATTAGGACCCTAAAACCATCATATGATAGTCGTAGGGTCCTAACTTTGGGGTGTGATGTTACCTAAATCCTTTTATTACTGGTTACTATCTTGCGGTGAATTACTATTAGGGGAGGTGGGCTTGGTTACAAGGGGGTCATTGCTCTTGGGCCACTGGGTCAGCTCTAATTGGCAACAACAAACGTTGGTGCCAATAGAGTAGTGTCTGTTGGTGGTTAAACCAGGTAAGATCATGTGGTTTAGGGTTTAAGGTTTAGGGTTATATTCCTTATAGAAAATACTATACCCCAAAGGGAGGATAGAATTTTAACCTATATTGGGTACCATAGTATCCCCAAACAAAATACTACTCGATTGAGGTCGTATCGAAGTCTTGGTGGACCCGCTTTGTCGAGATGATTCTGATGCAGCAAAGGTTTCAAGTTTTAGGTTGAGTCTTTGCAACGCAAATGGGACCCGAAGTAACCCTGCCAGTTGCCGATTCGAGAAGCATGTGGCACTGTGTTTCTAGGCCCCTGGAATGGCGCACAAAAAACTACATCCAACCCTTCGCATATATTCAAATACCCACCTTGCCCCCCAAAAAAACCTTACGCACCCCCTAACCTCTAATTCCTAATTAAACCCTAAACCCGAGACCCTAGACCCTAAACCCTAAACCCCTCATCTTCCCACTGCATAGTCCGCCCCCCTAAACCCTAAACCCTAAACCATCTGGGAACCCGAACCTCGCGGCCTCGCAGCTTGAGGTCCTCAGTTGAGGATCTAGGGGGTTTTGGGTTTAGGTAGGATTTGAGGTTTGAGGCGTAGGATTTGGGGGTTTAGGATTTAGGGTGTAGGATTTTGGGTTTCAGGNNTAGGGTTTGGGATTCGGGCTTTAGGAGTCAGAGTTTAGGGACTACAGGATATGACCTCATAACTTGGGCGTCCCCTTCAAAAGGGTCAAAACAGCGACCCCGGCTTGAACACCCTCATGTTTGAGGCTGTTACAGTACAGCATTTTCTGGCTGATGTTTGGGGTTTAGGGTTTGGGNNGGGTTTAGGGTTTAAGGTTGGGGCACATACCCAGATAAACCTGAAAAGACCTGAAACCCCCAAAAAGAATTGAAAGCGCGAAGAATAACTCTTGAACAGACCCCCAGCCGCAAACCTTAGAGGCACTCAAACCAGTCCCCAGAAGGATATAATTATTATGGGGGGGTAGCCGGAAAAAAGATCGGATTGCTTCTCAGCTAGGAGACTTCTGTCGCCGCATCGAACTCCTCAATCTGACCGTCATTCCTAAGCATGATCTCACGGGTGTAGGGTTGCAAGCTTAATGTGTAGGTGGGTCGGCGG